TATATATATATATATATATATATATATATATATATATATATATATATATATATATATATATATATATATATATATATATATATATATATATATACACACACAATCCCCCTCTTCTGGTTAATGTAACCCATGAGTCCCATGGAAAAGTGAATAACTTAATATGGGATTAATTGAAATACAGTCCGGCCGACCCCAACTCACTTTTGACGACACACAACTTTGTTGTAGTAAAATTTATCTTAACTTTATGTTGGTATGAAAAAACAAGTAATAGAAAGAGGTTAGGTTAGGAAAATAAAAAGGTTAACATACTGGGAAAAATAAAGGTTAGGTTAGAGAAACTAAAGTTGGGTGGAACACTTACGATGTTAGTAGAAGGAGATGGAGTGGCGTGCAGGGATGGAGGCTGGTTCGAGAACCCAGAGGGCACGCTACTGGCCCTCAGGTGAGATCCACTATCACTGTCACCCCGGTTGTTGCTGGCCTCCCTGACAAATCCCCTCAAGAGTGAATCTTCCTGTCCTATCACTGGCCCAGGCTGGCTGCCCAGTGGGTTCTTGGCCGAAAGGCACCGGTTATGCTTTTTTGACGGCTGGTGTTTATGTTGTCTTGGTACATTGTGATGTACGGCTCCATAGCCTGCACCAGCCGGGTATGGAAGACTTCATAGCGGTCATCGTCATTGTCGCGGGAAATGAAGGACTTCATTTTCTCTGCACACTCTATGGCACACTTAATATCACTATGACTTAAACTGTGTTCTTCGGAGAATGACGCACCTTCTTCCTCCTCTTCACTGACGTGATCTTCTTCCAACATCTCGTCGGCAGTCACTTCAGGATCTCTGATCACCTCCAGGATGTCTTCGTTGGTGGTCTCGGAGAAGCCTTCAGCTGTAATATTGAGCGCAGCTTCTCTGGCAAGGTCCACTGCTACTGCAACAGTCTGAACCTCACCAGTCACAGGTTCACTCCTCTTCTCAGCTGGTATGCCATGCAACACATGTCTCCATGCGTGACGAATCGTAGCAATAGTCAGCAAATCCCATGCCTCCACCAAGAAGTCTACAGCTTGTTTAACGTTAAACTTCTTCCAAAATTGTTTGACGAGAAGTTCTTGAGTCGCCACCTCTTGTTCCTTGTCCTCGTCGCTTTTACTCTCGCTGTCGGTGTCACCCAGCATACGCAACTCATCCTTGGTGTTGGTACAGTCGTTCAGGAGCTTGAACTTCTTTGCAGAGTACGCAGCTTTCACATTGCAAATCAACTCCTGGTCCATGGGCTGGATTAATGACGTAGTGTTGGGAGGAAGGAAGACCACTTTTACGTTGGGGTGACGATCCATAAGTAGGGGCGAGTGTCCAGGTGCGTTGTCAGGAGCAACAAAATATTGAATGGAGCATTCTGTTGCTCGCAGAATTTCTTCACGTCAGGAACAAAACAGTTGTCAAACCAGAAGAGGGACAGAGAAGAGGACATCCACGCCTTACGTGCGGTTAGCCAGTGGACATTAAGCTTGTTCATGTCCATATTCTTGTAGGTGTGCGGCTTGCGGGCTGTGTGAATCACCGATAACTTTGGTTTACAGGTACCGGAGGCATTGGTGGTAAAGAGGACGGTGATGCGTTCCTTCTGCAACTTCCGACCCCTTACCTTGCTGGCAGACTGGACAACGAAGGTCTTGGAAGGTAGCTTTTTCCAGAAAAGACCAGATTCGTCCATGTTAAACACCTGGTCGTCAGTGTACTGTCCTTCCTCCATAATCTCACGTAAGAACGGAGGAAAATCTCTAGCCGCCACACGGTCAGCACTCGCTTCCTCACCACCAATGTTGATGTTGGTGATCTTGATCCTCTTCTTAAACCTATGCAGCCAACCAGAGGAAGCATTGAAGGGTTTGGGCTCTGCAATTCCCAGCTTACGTGACACTGCTGCGTATAGCTCACGTGCGCTCCTGCACTGAGCGCGTGTCCACCGCCATGTTGCGTCGCGCCTGACGAATCAAATAATTCACCAGCAAATTTTCCACTTTTGCCAGCACCCTGTTCTGGCAATTCCTGATAGATGAAGCACCTGCAGACTTTGTGATTTTCATGTGCTCTTTGATCTTGGCTGCATCCTTCTTGATCGTGTGAATCGTAGATTCGTTGACGCCATGCTGGCGCGCGAGATCAACTTGCCGTGTTCCTTTCTCCAAATCTTGTATAATTTGGTACTTCAGCTCGTAGCTTAAGGAACGTCGTGTCTTCTTTGGCTTAGTGCCGCTGGGTCCAGGTAAGGAAAGGTCTCTCTCTGGTGGCGGTGGTGGTCCGGCGGAAGCCATTTTACGGAACAATGGATGCGCGTTTACACGGTGTGGCCTTGAGGGATGAAACTGCCGCGGCTAGGTCAAGCGTCGTCTTTCCTCCCTCCCTCCCTCCCCCGGGTGGGCACGTCATAATACTTTAAGCCAATTACAGCTAGCAGCAGAGGGGGGTAGGGATGCATGGCCAATCACAGTCCGATACGTCATATGACGTCAGTGATAACGCAACAAAGACACACTGCGCAACCTTACCGCGCGGCTTGCCCAAGCGGAGGGAGGAGGAGGGAAAGGCAAGGAGCACAGGCAGGCAGGCGGGCTGGTGGCGCGTGGCGCGTTGGCAAAATCTAAAAATAGCATCTCGAGCCGGACACTCACCGCGTATATGTGGAAAAAATCCGTGTTAAGTGAAAGTTCAGCTCTGGCAAGGCACCGCGTATATGCGAAAACGCGCTAAGTGAAACCGCGTTAGGCGGGGTAATACTGTGTGTATATATATATATATATATATATATATATATATATATATATATATATATATATATATATATATATATATATTATTATATATATAGCGGGCTTTTGTGTGTATGTGCGCATGCGTGAGCGCCACAGCTACACAGCGACAACAAGCGACCACGTGGTCGCCACTTTAAAACGAGCAATCAAACTGTGACAACATACCGTATATACTCATCTATAACCCCCCCTCGTTTATAGGTCGACCCTGATTTTTTGACCAAGAAATCGTTAATTTATGATATTCCTCGTTTATAGTTCGACCCACGTTTTTGAGGGTAATGGAACAACAAAACCTTCAGTAAAAACGCTCTACGTCCTATAAACTGAGGCTTTGACCATTTATTATTACGACACTTTACACTGAAACGCGGGTAGTTTCAACAAAAATATTGTATATTTCCATTCAAGTATTTATTCAAGTCAATTAGGAGGGAATATTATTGTAATACAACAGTTTTTTAACTAAACCATTCGAAAAGCGATTACGGTAACATCTTTTGAACGAAAGAAAGCGAAAGTCATTGTTTTCGTTACGATTTTATCCCACTTTCCACTTTAATACGTACGTAATTTCAGCAAAAATATTACATTTCCGTGAATGTATTATATCAAGCACAGTATGAATAGAATATCATTGTAATATAACAGAATTTTAACCGAAAACTATTAAAAAAACGAGTAACATCTCAAGAACATCGGAAGCTTAGGTGAAGTCTTTTGTTTTCGTCATGTATTTTATCCTATTTTACATTGAAATACATCACGTTTCAGCAAAACTACTATTTATTTCCGAGAATATATTCATTCAGGCGCAGTTTAGGTAAAATATACGTGTGATGTAATAGTTGTTTAACTGAAAACGATTCGAAAAACACGTACCCTCTAGCCCTGTTCAAGGAGAGGACTGGGAGAAGCTGTTTGGTGCTGCAGACGGTGACAAGGAAAATGATTTTGATGGATTTTAATGAAAATATTGAGAAATATGGTATCGTAGTATTTATTCAAGTCATTTAGGATAGAATATTATTGTAATACAGTACAACAGTTTTTTAACTAAACCATTCGAAAAGCGATTACGGTAACATCTTTTGAACGAAAGAAAGCGAAAGTCATTGTTTTCGTCACGATTTGATCCCACTTTCAGCTGTAATACGTACGTCATTTTAGCAAAAATATTACATTTCCGTGAATGCATTATATCAAGCACAGTATGAATAGAATACCATTGTATTGTAATATAACAATATTTTGAGTCCTACTCTTTCCATTTACAGATTACTGTACAAGCCCATAATTATGGCTCCTAAAGTAGATAAACTTCGTTGTGTGAAGAGAAAGAAGAACACGTTGAAATTGAGTGACAAACTTGAAATAATTAAGAAACTAGTACGTGGTGTGAGCAATACTGTTCTAATGGAAACATACGACATTGGAAAGTCTACAATTTATGATATAAAAAAAGCAAAGAATAAAATTCTAGAATTCACAGCTTTTTCATTAAAACTGCTCGTTTTGATAAATGAAGCATGCTATAATTGCTAATGAATAAACTATCAAAATGTACCTGTTCATCTCTTCTTTATTCCTCCCTAAATTTGAATTTTAAAAGTACTGCCTGAGAATCCGGAAAATCCGAAAATCCGGACCAACCCAATCCCCAAGCAGTCCGGATTTTTGGACTTCTACTGTATATAAGATGAGAAACAAGCAAGAAAATTTAACGTAGCCCAAGGAAGAAAATGTTTTGTGTTTGAGAATCTCAGGTTTTCTGAGATCTAGTTTCAAGGGTTTGTGATTGTATAATGAAGTGAGTAGTATATGGGTTCAAACCTTCATTTTAATATCATGATATCCTTGCCCTACATTTTGGATTGCTGTATATTTTCTTTATTTCTTTAAATATTTCACTTAAAAGGCTCAGAGTTGTAGATGTTTGGTCTTTGAAATATGAAGTAGACATTTTTGATGAAGTGTGTGCTATTAATCTAAGCACTGTATTGTAGTGTATATGTTGTGAAATTTGATTTTTAAAAGAGGAACCCATGATGGCATATGTGTTGAAAAAGAGTAGGTCTTGAAATTAACACATTTTTGTCATATTTATGTACTTTAACATCTGTATGTGGTACAAGATTATCTAAAGAACATAAATCTCTAGGTTTGTGTACTTTCAACAGAGTGTTGGTGTTGTGTGGGAAATGGCATTCAATGGTGTGAAACTGCGGGTGGAGCGGCTGCGTTCCCACCTGCAGCGCCACAGCACCACAACCCAAGAGGTTGTCGAGACCCCAGTTACAGGTTAGCTCCCACTGTGAGCCACAACCATTTCAATAAAAATCTTTCCATAAAAATTTAAATATGTGTCATGAAATTTATTTACTTATAATTTTGCTTTAACAGAAATGTTTGCTGCTTCATGAACAAGATTTTGCTTTACTTGGGCATGGCTGCTAAATTTTTTCAGTTTGTGATTTCCCATACTGTTATGTTATCATGATTAAATATCTTAATGTTCTCACATCAAAGACTGCAAATTCTAACATTTAGTATCCACAATTGTTTTTTTATCTTTGTATGTCTTGCTGTACATTATAGTGATGTCATATTGTAAAGTTAAGTTTCAGTGTGTTCATGAACAACTACAAGTTTCAGTGTGCTCATGAACAGTTACAAGTTTCAGTGTGCTCATGATCAGTTACAAGTTTCAGTGTGCTCATGAACAGTTACAAGTTTCAGTGTGCTCATGAACAGTTACAAGTTTCAGTGTGCTCATGAACAGTTGCAAGTTTCAGTGTGCTCATGAACAGTTACAAGTTTCAGTGTGCTCATGAACAGTTACAAGTTTCAGTGTGCTCATGAACAGTTACAAGTTTCAGTGTGCTCATGAACAGTTGCAAGTTTCAGTGTGCTCATGAACAGTTACAAGTTTCAGTGTGCTCATGAACAGTTACAAGTTTCAGTGTGCTCATGAATAGTGTAATTCATTTTTAAAGATTTGATGGTTTTCACTTTCAAAGTCGTTTATCTGAACTTATTTTATCCATCTTTATATATGATTGACATACTGTATGTCATAATACACCCTTGGCTGTTATATACAGTGCAGTCTCATTTTGCATGGGTCTTGTGTGCGTGGAATATCACTTACATGATTGGTTAAAATGTGACCATAGTTGTCACTTCTGCGGAAAGCCATGGGTAGCGCAGGTACTGTCGCAGTATAGCATTAATTTCGTGAACTTTTGCTCATTTTAGCCCAAATTTAGCAATTTTAGTTATGTTAGTTTTTGAAAATTATTTTTATAGTGTTTCAGTAATGTAAAGAATAAATAAAAACAAACTGGCAAATGAGGCAACAGCCAGACCTCCCTTCCACCTCCATCACATTTACAAATAGTGTTATCTCTTGTACCAAGTAGCTTGCATTAGGCCTATATCAAATCTGCTTAGACCATTTTACAGTATCCCCATTAAAGACTACAGTACAGTAAATATTTTAATAATAAATAAGGTATTATATTTTATAAAAGATAGATTATTTTTAATAAGATGTACGACAGTACTGTATATTCCTTTCTTCTTTATTCAAGACATCTTCAGGTCATGAGACTCACTAATTCCCCACCCTGACAATGGGTGACCTGACAATGCATCAGATCAGTAATATGAGACCACCAATCCCTGACCCCATCTTCACTGCAAATGAAAGAAGAGTTTATATACAATGGGTAACCTGATATTGCATTACATCAGGTCGGTGACAGTAGAGAATGAGGAGATATTTTCTTTTTTCCCCCCACAGACATAATGTTTCTTTCTTATCTGTATTTTCTATTAATTCTTTAATTACTCCATTTCTTTCTCTCTATTTTTCTTTTTGTTTCCTTACATGATTTCTCATACCTTATCTCTTTTCTTGTTCTTATTTACTTAAACAATTACAGAAGGTATAGGAGATAGAGAGAGAGAGTGGTAGAGGTGGGTAGTGGTGCAGGAAGGAGGGATTACGGTGAGAAGATACAGGTTGGACCTCGCTAAACCGGGGCCCAATAGTCTGGCAGCTTCAGTGGTTCAGGACGCATATGTTGAATATTTAATCTTATGGGGAAAATTAGGATATTTTCCGCAGTTACTAAAAGTCAACAGTAATGCTATAAAGTTGTGGAAAAATCATTACAATTATCACAGCCTGTACTCAAATGTACTACTGTAATTACTAAAAATTTTATGTCTGGTGGAAGCTGTGGGATGTTTAACTCAGATTAATTGCCATCTTGCAAGAATTCCAGCAATGAAAGTTATATTCTGATAAGTCAAGTCGTTGACATTTTATAAGTGAAAAACTTAAACTCCCTGTCTTTTACAATCCCAAGTCCCTCCTGACCCCTCAACTGATAAATACAGATTCGTCCTGGCTGTCAACACCCCACCTCCTCCTCCTCCCCCCTCCTTCCAGCCAGCAGGGGAGGTAGATGGCAGTGGGTGATAACGATTAATGGGATGAAGGCGATTTAAGACTTAAACTTCTTCTCTTATAAAATGTCACAGACTTGACCTAGCAGAATATAACTTTCATTGCTGGAATTCTTGCAGGATAGCGATTATTTTTAATATAAACATCTCATAGTTTGCACAAGAGATAATTTTTTTAGTCCTTTAGCTCAGTACATTTGAGTACAAATTGAGTACAGTAATATGGTCAGGATATTATGGTATTAATTGTTACAGAGTATTTCAAATAAATTCTTCTACCAGTACCTTTCACATACAGTAGAATGCTTATTTTTGCCTTATTTTATTCGGCTTGTCATTTAAGGATAACTCGGCAAGGCCAGAGTCCCATATGTGTCGAGTTATCAAGGGTTTACTGTACACACAAAAGTATTTTTCTTAAATACTCCCTTATAAAATGGGGGGTCCATCTTATATGTTGGTAGTAGGCAGCTACCAAACAGGGAGGTACTATTGCCTGGGAAGATATTGGAAACATAATATACAGGCATCCCCCGCGTTACGGAACCCGGGTTATGGAATTTCGCTCTTACGGAATTTGTAAATTATGACCAATAATTTCGCGTTACGGCCCATAAATCCGCCCTTATGGAAATTGGGGTAAATTTTAACAAACACAAGGCCTCCCACATGCCATTCAGACTGACAGACTTGACAAGTTTTACCAACCATAAAGACAGTTGAAGCTTTAAACATCACTCACAATGGATCTTGAATATTCCAACTGTAATCAGACATACCTAAGTTGCAACCCCAGTTGCAATATCAAATTCTGTGTCATCACTAAAAAATAATACAGTAGTCCCTGGTGCACTCTTAAGATTAAGAGAAAACGGACGACTCAGGCGGCCTTGAAGTGAGAGAAAATGGACTCCTATGATGGGGCACTCAAATAAAGAGACATGGCTAGCACATGTTTTGTGGACTACCCACTATACAGTATCCTTTTCATCACTTTGTAATAAACCTCGTCATGCCTATGTGTGTTTCTGATAATTACCATAACATTATATATTTATATATTTAGCGGTTGTACAAACACGAGGCCTCACACATGCCATTCAGACTGACAGACTTGACAGGTTTTACCAACCATAAAGACAGTTGAAGCTTTAAACATCACTCACAATGGATCTTGAATATTCCAACTGTAATCAGACATACCTAAGTTGCCTCAACAATTGCAACCCCAGTTGCAATATCAAATTCTGTGTCATCACTAAAAAATAATACAGTAGTCCCTGGTGCACTCTTAAGATTAAGAGAAAACGGACGACTCAGGCGGCCTTGAAGTAAGAGAAAACGGACTCCTATGACGGGGGCACTCAAATAAACATACACATAGCTGTATAATGCAATATTATGCAATATTAACCCCTAAATTGGTGTTTTAAGAAGGTATATCATAAATTATTTAATGTACTGTATTATAAATGTTTATTTTCATTAATAAAAGTGCTTGAATTACTGTACTTTTTTGGGGCCGAAAAAATTCCTTAGGAACGCATATCCAGTTTTATAATGGAAGTCAATGGGAAAATAGGTTTCGCGTTACGGAATTTCACGATACGGTCAATTTTCCGGGAATGGAACCCTTCCGTAATGCGGGGGATGCCTGTATTGTCTGGTGGTAGACCCTGCTGCCATATGGCATCACTAAAATTGTGACCAAGTCTCCGGTTTCTGATCTGACTTTCTGCCTCATTTACACACAATTGCAGGGTCTCAATTGTTTCTCTTACTATTGAAAACACAACTTACATATCGCATATCTCAGCCTATAAGACGGAATTTAAACCTTAAAAAAATCAGCCCAAAATTAGGGTTCGTCTTAAATACCAGGTATAAAATTCTTACCTCTTACTTATTGTGGTTTAGTGTGTCAAGAGTGGTGATGGAGAACATCGTAAAACACTCACACGGTCCTACCACTAATTATTTTATACTGAAACTTACTTTTGGGAAGCTGGATTAAAAATAAGATTACCGGTATACAGTTGTACCCCGCTTAACGCGGTCAATTGAACCCACAGGGTACCGCGTTAAGTGAACAACAGAACATATGGGATTAATTCCAATAGAGACTGGCCCGACCCCCAAACTCCACTTTTTGACGACACACAACTATGTTGTAGTAAAAATATTATCTTAACTTTATGATGGTATGCACACAATTAATAATTAAGAGAAATATCAATAATATTAGGTTTTTTAACACTTACATTAGTAGAAAAGATGGCTGGGCACACGGGGATGGGGGGTTGGTTCCGAGGCAGAGGGCAGATTATTGGCCCTCACTTGTATCACTTGTATCAATTGTATCACTATCCACCACAGAGGCTTGCAGGGCCTCTTTGTCAAACCCCTCAAAGTCCATATAAGTCCATATCCTCACTATAATTATCACTATCACTGACTTGGGCCGGCTATGGTGGGTGAAGAACTCGGTAATGTTTTGATGACTGGGCGACCTTGTGCGCATCGTGCCCGCGCCGCTTCCCGCGTATATGAGTAGATGAACCGCGTTAAGTGAAAGTTCGGTTCTGGCATGGCACCGCGTATATGAGAAATCGCGTTAAGTGAAATCGCGTTAAGCGGGGTACAACTGTATTCAAATAATAAAAATTTATTAAACACCTGTCTAACATATCGTAAAATAACAACATACCGCGGTAATAAACGCAGCTATCATCACGCACCGCCCACCATTTGCCAGTGACGAGACAAAAAAGGGAAAGTGTTTTTTTTTACATCCAGCGCTCGTTGTCACTACGCATGTCATGGGT